TGTCTCCCATCTACTTTCTTACTCATCAGAAACCTAGCACAACAAGTTATTTTGGGCACTCCCTTTTTAGCTTTGATTATGCCAATTGAGAAAATTGATTCTCATGGAATATGCTCTACTTTACATGGTCAGTCAATCACTTTCCAGTTCTTGACCCCACCAGTAAATAAGCATATCAATGCTCTTAAAGATAACATTATCTTTAAGGAAAAGCAACTGAATTATTTGCAAAAGGAGGTATCCTCCTTAGCAATTAATCAAAGATTGGTACAGCCCACTGAGCAACAGAAAATTGAGTCACTCCGACAACACTTTCTAAAGGAAATCTGTAGTGAGATTCCTAATGCTTTTTGGGCCAGAAAGAAGCATATTGTTTCTTTACCCTATGTAAAGGGGTTTACCGATAGCATGATTCCTTCTAAAGCTAGTCCCAGCCACATGAAGGCTGACTACTTGGAATTATGTAAGACTGAAATCAGCTCTTTAATGGCTAAGAAGCTTGTCACTACTAGCTACTCCTCCTGGAGTTGCAGAGCTTTTTATGTCAATAAAAATGCTGAAAAAGAACGAGGAATTCCTCGATTGGTTATTGATTATCGACCACTTAATCTTACTTTAAGTTGGATCCGATATCCAATTCCCAACATCAAAGATCTTTTAGATAGGTTACAATCTGCTGTGATCTTTTCTAAATTTGATCTTAAATCTGGATATTACCAGGTACAAATCACCGAAGAAGATAGGTACAAAACAGCTTTTTGTGTACCTTTCGGACAGTATGAATGGACAGTAATGCCATTTGGATTAAAAAATGCCCCTTCAGAATTTCAACATATTTTGAATGACATATTTAATCCTTTTACTGAATTTTCGATTGTTTATATTGATGATATTCTCATATTTTCAAAATCAATTGATCAGCATTATAAACACTTGAAAATTTTCAAAGATGTTATTTACCGAAGTGGTTTAGTAGTTTCTGCTCCTAAACTAAAAATGTTTTTAACTAAGGTCAGATTTCTTGGTCATGAAATTTGTGATGGGAAAATTAGACCTATTGACCGCAGTATTGAGTTTGCTTCTAAATTTCCAGATGAAATCAAGGATAAAACTCAACTTCAAAGATTTCTGGGTAGCTTGAATTATATTCGAAGCCACTACAAAAATCTTGCACAGGATACAGCAATTTTGTACACCAGGTTAAGGAAATCTCCTTCCCCTTGGACTTTGGATCACACCAAGGCAGTCCAGAAGATTAAACTCAGAGCCAAACAAATTCCTTGCTTAGCTCTAGCCAATTCTTCATGGTTCAAAATTGTGGAAACAGATGCCTCCAATATTGGATACGGTGGTATTCTTAAACAGAAAAATCCAAATACAGGAACAGAGGAGCTTGTTCGCTTCACTTCAGGAACTTGGAAAAATGCACAATTAAATTATTCAACCATAAAAAAGGAAATTCTTTCTTTGGTTAAATGCATTTATAAATTCCAAGATGACTTAATCAATCAGAAATTCTTGTTACGCATTGATTGTAGTGCTGCTAAACAAGTACTGGAAAAAGATGTAAAGAATTTAGTTTCTAAACAGATATTTGCTGGTTGGCAAGCTGATTTATCTGCTTTTGATTTTACTATTGAATATATTAAAGGCAGTTCTAATTCTTTACCTGATTTTCTAACCCGTGAATTCTTGCAGGGTTCATGAATCAGCCCCCCCATGGGCAGGGCCGGGGTAATACTCCTAAGGCTCGCAAAAACAAGGCTAAGGCCAAAGTGGTTATACCACTAACTGATGATCAGTTTCCATATCTGGAGCATGTTGCTGATCTGCTCAAAACTCCTTCTAAAGGAAGCAGTAGTTCTCAGCAACAACAACAGAAACCAACCATGAAAGAGGTTCTTGAACAAGAAACTCCATGGATACCTAATCAAAGGTATATTCAAACAGCATTGGTACTGGATTCTCAAGATGAGCAATGGATGCCAGATCCTTGGGAAGTAAAATCCAGATATTTCCAAACTCAACAATATGCTGCACCGGATGGTCGCCATAGATATATCTATGAAGCCATTCTTACTGAAACTTCCTCTGTGGAGATTAACCACACGAAGCAATTTCCGAATTCCAAAGATAGTCCTCTTACTTATAGTAAAGCTATCTTTAAGAGGCTTATACGGCCTAGTAACTGGGGATTAAATCCCAATTTGCCAAGGAAAATATCCTATGGTCACAGTTACAATTATTGGGATTATATCTCAGCTTGGACATATTCGTTCTTTTATCAAAATCCGAAGCATAGGCATTCTTGGTTCTTCAAGATATGTCCTCAATCAGTTAAGACTGATTTCCCAAACTGGGTTATACCCTGGTGGGCTATATTTGGCCCTGATCTGGATATGTTGCCTGAATCAATCAGCAAATTATATTTGCCATGGCAACAATTTCATCCTCAATTACGAGGACAGGATAATCTTTCTGTAGGGAAATCCACCCTATTGTTCTTTACTGAATTTGGAATCCCTTGGATTTGGAAATGGGATTTCCAATGTGGTTATACCACTGACAAGTTACCAGTCCTCCAGAGGATCTTTTATTACAGATGGTGGTCAGGCATGACTCAAGAACCTATTCAAGCCCTCCTCCATCAGATCAGAAAGAAAACAATGGAACATATGGATAAGATTCCAAAGTTAACTATTCCAGAACCGGAAATCTTTAACCCATTTGAACTTGTTAAAGATATGATCCGAAAACAACAACCATTAATTACCGAAGCTGATTTAATGGTTAAATGCATGGATTTTATGAGGAACAAATTTGTTAAATCCTTTGAATCCTCCACTCCCACAGTGAGAGATGATACAGCCATGGTGTCAGTCTCTAGCCAGAACAGTCAAGAAGGAAATCAATTTTCTTGTCTTGCAGGTTATGCTCAAGATCCCAATGAAAATCTTAATTCCGAAGACGATATCTCAATAGCTGATTATTGGGACTCTCTGACTGGACATCTGAAGGACAAGATGAATCCACCCAAAAAGTAAAGATTCCTCTTATCCTGCCGACAGAAGAAGACAAAGAACTTTCCCCCAAAGTCTTTGATTCAACAGTATTTCCTTTATCAGATGTCTACTTTCCATCAGATAAGGAGACAGCACTTAGTGGTGGGCCGGCCGACTGCATTATTCCAGCACACGATCCCATGCACTATGCGGACTTCAAATTGTTAATTTCAAGTCCATTTTCTGTATAAATAAAGGGCAATGTTTCCCTTCAATGTATCTTTCAATTTTTTTTTCTCTCATCTGTAATATTTCTCTGTACAAGTTTGGAGTTTAGTAAAGAAAGTTTTCTGTAAGTCTGTTCAACACTTGTTTAAATTCTGTTATTTTCAACATATATATCTATCGATCCTCTTGCACATATATATTGCAACTCATATTGGTATCATATTGAGTTCTGTAGTTATAAATATAAGGGAATTTTGAGTTCCGTACTATTTACCGACAAATATATATATATATATATGAGTTCCGTACTATTTACCGACAAATATGTATATGTATATATATATATACTTAAAAGTTTTAAACATTTGCTTCATTATGTTTTAGAGATCTTGAGTTCCAAATTAAAAAAACCAGTGTCCCGGCATGCGTAAATTTGATCCTCTTTCTACCCTTAGTTTGGCCTTTTTTTATTATTATTTATTATCCTTTGATAAAAATATTTTAGTAATAATTTATTTTGAATGTCTACTCAAAATATTTTCATACTACTTACCAGAAAAATATATATATATATTCGGCAAAAAATATTGGTTCTCCATATGTACCCGTTTTGACCTTCTCACGTGGTGTGTAGAGCAATGGAAAGCTCCCAACTCTCCAGTGAAACAATGGTCCAATCCTATCACAAAAAAGTTGTGATCGTCAGCCCACTTCACAACCCCCGCCGTTGTTGTTTTTTTTTAAATAAATAAATAAATAAATAAAAACACTTCTCCCTTCAAGTCAAGACCAATGAGAATAATCTACCAAGGAGAATTAAAAGGGATTCAGACATCATCCATAGTTGAGTGTAGTGGCAATGGGAATTGGTGTGTGAGATGGGTTTTGGACTGATTATGTTGCTGAAACCAAGCCCTAGTTATTGCAGTTTTCATTTTATGTGTCGCTTGACATCCTCTGATGTTGGCTATAACTCACAACTTGTATTATTGTGCATACGTGCTGATTTGGTTGCCAGCTAACTTGCCACATTGTTGAGCATGGCTCTTCTTGTGCCTCTGGGCTCGTGTTGGAGGACATCAATCTACTTTAACATTAACCACATTCATTAGCTAAACCTAGTCTATGATCCACCATTCAATTTTTTAAATTTGCATAATCAACATCAAATTTCAAACCCATCACTGAATATCTTATACACAAAGCACTCGATTCATATATCACAACAATATGAAGGCACAACATTATCAAACGTATATATCTAATGCTTAACAATTTGAGTTCTACGCGCTGTCAAGCACAACTTACATTCCAACGAATTGACATTGACAGGGACTTCCAACGAATTGACATTGACAGGGACTTCCATTCCTTTTTCTCCGTGATTTTTGAGATGATACATCCATATTGTAGAAAGAAGTGCAGTGGGTGAGATAATTAATTAGACAACCACTCTCTGTATGACACACTTTTGTCCATTTCAGACTTTTAAGTCTGACCTCTAAAGCCAGAGATGGTGGTCAGATTATTTTGGGGGAGTCAATAATTTGCTGGAAATAGAAAGGGGCGACACAGGTCGTAGCAATTCTTAGATTTAAAATTTAATTTTTTAATAAGTAGATCACAAAGATTCCCCAACAATTAACTCGGGTTCTCATCTACCATTCTTGATGGTGAACCATTATTTTCCCGACTTTGGATGCTGCTACCCATGGAAAATCGAAAACCTTATAACTAAGAGGAAAAGGTAGCCTGTCAAAACCATTCATATTTTTGCCTTTGGTTAAGTTTTCAAATTTCATTCAAAGCAAAAATAGCATACTGTTTGCCAACAAATTTCAAAACAAAGCAGAGCGTCAACACAAAATCCAAACAAAGTAAGATCCGATAGAAATTCAAGAAAGTTCTAGACCTACAACTTTCAGTCCCTTTAAAATATTTCAGCAATAGTGTCCATAAATTGTTTCCCAAGCCAGCTCTCTACTTGATCTTCTTCTTTGGCCTCAACTGCAATTGGAAAGCAAATAGAGAGAATAGCTTACACACCATATCAAGGAGAAACATCAAATATTAATGAATACATGTAAAAACAATGTACCTGGTTGCTGTGCCCACACTTCTTCTTCCTGCAGTTAACTGCGCGAGGGTGCAGGCGAGCGTAACATCTGAAACACAAATTTCAACGATTATTATGCTACAAATTGTTTCATTTCGCAAGCAAATAAATTGTTGGGAATCAAGCCATTGAAGGGAAAACAATCAAATTCAAAGGCGAAGAAGGTAAAATAATGTCTACACTGATATTTGGTTGACCCAGACATCCAAATGATGGTCCCATAGCGCAAAGCTAAACCTAAAGATCCATATTGAGAATAACATCAAGGAAGCATGTGCTTCTCCTTATAACGGCAATTCTATGCTAGTTAAGATAACATGACAGAGAGTTACATATAAAGCCAAATCCCTTATTGACATCTAGAAACTGCATGCTTTAGTAATATAACAGGAAAGGAATACAATAGTGCAGCAATATGACATCTTTGGATATTATCAATTATAAAAGAATAAAGCTAGCAAAACTTTACAAGTAACCAAAGAGTCCTATGAGACAATAATAGTAATGATGTAGATATAGTTTAATCATATTTTTCCTCCGTGAATGAGACTGAGTAGCAGAACCAAGAACGCTTCTTATGAAGTGCAGGCCACCTTGTCACCAGACTCGGAAAATGGGAAACAGCTAGATATTATCATACAGAATGGTAGAAAGGAAATTAGCAGTGTCAACCCATGTACTGAGCATTAAAATGTCCTTAAAGAATCATAGGAGCCCGTATAAATAAATATATATATATATATATATATATATATATATATATTTATTTATTTATTTATTTATTTATTTTTATTGCTTATGGAGGGACCAAAGGCACAAAATCACTTCCAACTTGTTTTATCCCAATGTTGTATCCAATGAATGACATTTAAGAAAGGATTACACTTGTTTAGCAATAAAACTTAAAATTCGCAAGGCAAATTTCATACAAGAAAACCAGAAGTTAACAAACTGGATATCTTGACAACATTACAATCAGTTGAAATTAGTGGGCAAGTAATGGAATTGTACATACCGATAAGTTCAAAACTACAGGATAGAACAAAATTTTCAAATGCGGTAGTTGGAAGGAACTGCCAGTAAAATGCTTCAAAAGGGTTAAAGGAAACTTACTTCAAGTCAAATTCCATATTCCTCACATATTACTTAATGGAAAAATATGTATATTCTTCACAGGTTACAAAAGATTCTACCTTGGTTGGTTTGATCCTTCGAGTACTATTCTATGTGGAGAATAGATATTCTTAATTCAAAGGAACAAAGGTTAATTTGCTTGTGATTGTATTTCAAATGCGCGAACGTTTGCTTATTGTCTGAGCTAAAAGATTATGTTTTTTTGTCTTTTTGGAAGTGATTACTTTTAATTTATAATGTCAAGAGATCTTCAACAAAAAAACTGAGACTACAATTAGTGAAGCTTTAGACATAATCTTCTATGAAAGTTTATCATCACAACTAGTTCATATACAATCATAAAATCTTCGAGATGATTGTTATAAAGTACAAGTAGCTCAATCAAGGATTTAAAGTTAGATAAAAACTTACTTGCGACAGATCATCTTGTCCTGGTTATATTTCCTAGCCAACGCCATCAAAGACGGTTCTATGATACCACCTCTAAGCCTCAGAACAAGATGCAGAGTCGATTCTGCACAAATTAAACATACATAATGTATTCAAAGCAAAAATTACATCAATATATGTATAACAAACTTATGCAATATACATATATGTTATATAATTTGTGTGTGAACCTTTCTGGATGTTGTAATCGGCGAGAGTGCGGCCATCTTCTAGCTGTTTACCGGCGAAGATCAGACGCTGCTGGTCAGGCGGAATACCTAAAAATAATTAAAAATGTCAGATCTCATCCATCAGATTACGAAAAACGAAGAGAAAATATTGAGGATTACAACTGATACGATAGTAGAAAATTGAATAACTGAAATGATAAGAATTGGAAGTGAATTACCTTCTTTGTCCTGGATCTTGGCCTTGACATTGTCGATGGTGTCGCTTGACTCAACCTCGAGCGTTATGGTCTTCCCTGTTAGGGTTTTCACGAAGATCTGCATTTTCTCAAGCTTGTTCTGTGAATTTCGGCGTGTGAATGGCTGAAAGGTTCATTATATAGGTGGCAGTATTAGGGTTTTGCTCGATTTCTGCCCTGTTTGGCTGAAGAGTAGGAAAGGAAAGGAAAGGAGAGGAAAGGAAAGGAAAGGAGAGGAAAGGAAATTGTATATTAATATTTGGTATTTAAAAAAATGGAAGAAAAATAAAAGAAAATAGGATATTGGAATGGTACAAATTACCCACTTTGTTATTATTTCAAAAATGGGAGCATACGGTATAAAATGAAAGCAAAGAGTTGTAAAGTTTAATGAAACTTTTATAAATATATTAAAGGAAATAGTATATTAATATTTGGTATATAAAAAATGGAAGAAAAAGAAAAAAAAAATATGAGGAAATTGAAATGGTACAAATTACCCATTATAAAGTTTTGGTATTCTTTCAGAAATGGGAGCAGATGGAATAAGATGAAAGCAAAGACTTTTGTAATAAATAAAAAAAATGCTTCTGAATTGATCTCATCTTTTAATAATTTTTCTTTGTTTTTTTGGTTGTGTATGAGTAATAACTTAATCTTTCAATAAAATACTTTTTGTTCTCATCCATGTACAATTTCTGTTATGTAAGCCCGCATTTGTAATGCTATTGTCATCGGTTCGATTCCGATAGCCGGCTTTTGTTCGACTTTAAACTTTAAATAAACTTTTATAAATATATTATCCTTGTCCTTCTTTTTATGAAATTAAAATATAGGGCATGTTTTTATTTTCTTTTTCTTTTTTTTACTATTTCTTTGTGTCTAGATGCACTTTAATTTTGAATGATATTACCAAAAGGTTATACCTTAATGATAATTCTTTGCCTTTCAAATTAGCAGGTTCATATTCAAGCCCCCATTATATACGTTAATGTGTGAGTGTGTTTCTTAATATATATATATATATATATATATATATATATATATATATATATGCATGCACACATTGAATTATATATTTGCACATTCTTCTTTATGTCTGTCTTACCACTTCTTATCTAAGGCACATAGAACATGGGCGCAAAAAGTACCAAAATTTAAATCACATAGAATAAGAGCAAGAGCAAAATTATGTGTAGAGCAGAAACGCACGAGAAGAGTGAGAGCAGCAGTGTTTAGAAGCATTGTGTGACTTATCTTCTTACTTAAATAATTGTCTTTTTCAATATGAAAATGTATAATAATAAATTAATCAAGATAAATTCCCCTTAGCTACTAAGGTAATTCCCTGTCTATTTGGAGAGAAGTTGTGCTACGCAAACACCGCGCAAGCTAAGGAGGGCTTTAGATGACATTAGTATAGTCATGTTCTAAAATCTTCCACATTTGTGTTGGGGAGTGTAAGTATAAAACTTTATGAAAGAGTGAAGTTATTAGATACGTATATAATTAAATAGAAAATTCTAATAAATGAGGATGTTATTAGTAAACTCGAAGCTGGAGGAGTGGGAGGGAATTGTACAACAATTATTTGACTAATAGTAGAACTATGATAGGCGATATAAGGGAATCATTTATCCTAACATAGTATAAAGGTCAACGTCGTGCTGGGTGTTGTTTCTTTTTTAGTTTTTCACTGGAAATGATTGGTTTGGTTACCGTGAAATAGGTAGAAAGAAAAATAAACAAAAAAAAAAAAAATTAGAGTTTGATTACGGAAAAGTTTTTGGGAAGGTGGGATTCTCCATAAATTTTTTCAAAATATTTCCCCGCATAAAACACAAGAAAGTTTACTTTCTCGCACAAAACTGTCATTTTATTTCCAAATTTCCTATTATGCCTAGTTGTTTTCTCATTTTTTTTTTTTTAACGTAACAAATATAGCGTGGTTATTAAATTCAAAACTTCAGACTTACAAAATATTCCAACAACTATTATGTATTGAGACACATAATTTGATTATATCCAATAGGTCGTTACTTAAAATTTTTGAAAATAAATTAAGAGTTGAAGGGTAAAATATTAAATAATATAACTTTTAATTTTTATCAATATCTCAATAGAAATATCAGAAGAGATTAATTTGAGTCATCATATTATTTATATGACATAACAATTTCACATGGATGAAAATTAATATAATATTTATTTTTTAGTATCTATACAGTTTTGAACTGAATAGAGTTTTATACCGTATGATTTTTGCAAAAAAAAATTTGCATAGAAGTTATTCATATTTATAAAAAATATGAAAAGGGACTGATAAATTATGCATAAACCATAAAATTATTATGCATGAATTATAAAATATGTTACTTTTACATGACAATTTTTATCCTAGAGTTACCATTTAATGTTTATTCGAGTGGCTTAAAAAAAGATATATTTAATAATTCAATAAAATATGAGTATGTTATCATAAATGAACTATATTCTACATATAAATATCAATAATTATTATTGAAAACACAAAATAAAAAAATCTGACAATTAAAATGCAGTCCTCCTTAGTTTTTCTAATTTAAATATGAATATAAATAATAATAATTATGATTATTATTAATCTATTATTTTATGATAAAACATGAGTATATTATGATAAATGAATTATATTATACATATAAATATAAATAATTATTATTGAAAACATAAAATAAAAAGAATCTAACAACTAAAGTTTAGCCCTCCTTAGTTTGTCTAATTTAAATATGAATATAAATAATAATAATTATTATTATTAATCCATTATTTTACTATTTAATTGCTAAAAATTAATAAAAATAACTGGGTATAAAGATGATTCATCCACACAAAATTAATTTATTTTTTAATATTTGAAATCATGAGGGTAGTTTTGATAAGTAAATCATTTTTTTTTCCCTTTCATGCTATCCAAACTAATAAAATAATATTTTCCCAAAATTTTCTTGAAAATTTTTCTTACTAACCAAATGCAGGAAACTTGATTTTCTTTTCATTCACTTCACTTTCTTTCACTTTCACTTTCCATCATAAATTTTCGTCTAACCAAACGGACCCTTAATGTTTAATGTTTAGTTTGGTACAATGGAAATAAAAACAAAAAGAAACGCTCATACAAAATGTGTCCATTATTTTATAAAAGATAAAATATATGAAAAATGATATAATCGAAAATTTATTTAAATAGTTTCATTTAATTTATTTCTTCAAATATAATTACTATATTTTTTTTGTTTTTTAAAAATTAATCAAACACGATAAGTATTTAGATTTTGTTCCGTAACCTTAAATTTAGAGTGAATCCGCCAAAATAAATATTCGATTGTTTTGCAACACTTCAAGTAGGGATGACAATGGAGACTGTTTAGGGCAGAAATAGATAAACCCTACTCCATTGTGATACCCCTCGATTCTAGAGCCACGGGTGATCAAGTCAGAGCACAGATCCGAGGGATATCAAACAATTAATATTTAAACAAGCATTGGAATACAAGATGAATTAAAATTAAATAAATAATAAGCTGAAGGAAACTAAATAATAAATCCCTATTTTAAAATTCTCAAATAAATAATAATTAAAAATCCAATAATAAAATCCTCCAATTCTCGGATACTAGTAATTAATTAAATTACAACTCGGGAATCCATATTGTGGACCCCTAACAATATCCTAACTGAAATACTGAACTGAAATAAAACTAATAATTAAACCATGAAGAAGAGTCCTACGTAGAGTCGGAAGAGTGAATGACTGTCTCTGCTTGGCACGAACAATCTCTAAGACTGGAACTGACGAACACCTGAAAAATAATGGTGGGTCAGGCCCACATACAAGTTCTAATCTACTACATCCCAAACAGAGACCCGATACACGTACACATCCTAATTAATTCAACAATAACTAAATAGTCCATAAATAGATATATACACACTAAAGGAACCTCACTAGACTATAGGGTTGTCTCAACCTGAATAGTAGGTAACATGCAAAACGCACATATAGTGGGCATGAGTACCTAGACCTACCAGGGTACACAACTACGCTATATCTAGCTACACATCCCTGGCAATATACGCACCCTAACCACTGATCCTGAGACTTAAGCTCATATCATGGCGTATAATTATATATATATAATCCGTCCTATCCAATCATCAAAATAAACTATCCAATTATTATTTTAATAATATGTCATCCAACTATTCCGTTGACCTGACACGAATAAGTAGGACTTAACACTATGGTTAATCCGTTCCCTTATTTAAAATAGGTAGGACTTAACTCTTAAGTTAATCCGTCCCTAATATGCCCCCATCCCATAATGGTGCATTAATCCATATCATAATCAAATAAAAATTTCAAATCCAAGGATAATGTCAATAATGTTTACATATAACAATCCAAATAAATATGATAAAAATCATATACACATCATTTGCATTTACTTGAGCAAAATATCAACTCTAAGTGGCATGCATTTAATTTACATAACAAGAAATTAACATGCAACTCCACTAAATTGTACAGTTCCATGCCTTGTTTAAATTAATTTAAATCTAAACAATTGATTAAAATAATTTAACCCAACCATGTTTAATTAATTTATCCTTTTACAATTAAACCCATACTTAACATGTAAACTTAAATTATGCACTTCAGTTCTTATTGAATCTATTAAATAAATAAATATTTAATACAAAATTCCTTAATAACAAAACAATAGCCTCAGTTTAATATCCAACATTAATTAGTCTAACTTTTAAAAGATTTAATGCATCACTAATTTTTGTAATATACCAGATTCCTTTCTAACCATTTCTCACAATATCAAATTGTTCTAAGCTGACCTTTCCATCCTCGTGCCGCGTGTATGTATTAGAAAGGAAGTGAAATTTCAATTGCAAATACAATGAGATAAACTGAAACATTCCTGTGCTGTTCTTCCTCGTTCAGCGTGCATGACAAAACACAAAGTCTCATTATCCTTTATATCATAGTCTGATTTTTATTTATAATCCCTTATCAATGGTTTTCTCGTTCGGCGCGCACAAATTATGCAAAAACACCTTATGACTTTACCTATATATGCATACAC